AACAACAACAACAACAATAATAATAATACAAGTAAGTCAGTGACCCCCAGAGCAAGTGCTGTAATCCCTGCACTATCGATCTAGTCCATTACCAAGGGATACATGGAAATGTGTGCTGAATCAGGAGTGGAGTTTGCAATTTCCAACAAAGAACAACAGGAGGAAGGAGGAAAAGCAACAGCAGCAGCAACAATAAAGACATTGACTCCAGCAGCAGTAAAGGACACAGTTGCAGGTGGATCAGTAGACGCACTGTTGTGGCTTGTGAAAGAACAACCCTTGCTGAAGAGAACTTGTTTGGTTCAAGGTCCAGAGGTACTCAGTGTTCTGTGAGGAGATCCATGTTGTTTGTTGCTCAGTTTAGTGAAGACGAAGCAAACAACAAAGCCTTACAAAGAAGAGTATAGAGGTGCATGGAAAGGATGTGAAGCCCCCCCTATTTAGCTTGAGTGTTCTATTTCCTCAAAGAAAGAACCAGAGTTATCAGCTTTGACATCCTCCAAGGAAGTGGTCATAATCAGCTTGGAAGGGCTGGTGAAACTATCAGGCCTAAAGATTGAAGACTTGGAAGCCAAAATAGCACTTCTTACCAATCCAACAGCAACAGCAGTGAAGAGAAAGGATGAAAGCAGTCTGAAGAAGGGAGCCCCTGCACCAGTTCTTCTAAAAGAGAGTCCTGATACTCCTAAGCAAGCACATATCAAGACAGTGAACAAGTTTTTACAGAAGAGGGCCCATGACAATGCCTACAATGCAATCACAAAGATGGTGAGGTAGGAGCAGGAAATTTTTCCACCAAACTGCCAGTTGTCTGTTGTCAGTATTGTATCTCAGGTTAATTTACTGTACAATACTTCATTTAAGGCCAACATAGTGCGGCGGCATTTGAAGGACAATCTTGGGCCCCCAGGAAAGGGACGTAAAAGTTTACTTCCAAAGGCAATTATCAACGCACTAGGAGATACAATATCATTGTTTGTTGCTCTGGCTTGCAAGGAAAAGGAAAAGATTATGACCAATAGAAGAAATTTACCCATACTGAAGAGAATTACAGCTTCAAAAATCTGTCACTCTTAGCTATCATGTGCAAGTAGCAGCGTATCAAAATGACCACCAGTAGAACCCATCTGACGGTAGTTTCATACTGATAAGAAAAAATGGCCATCTTTCAGTAAATAGCACAAGTACGTCAGACACTTTCAATTAATATGATCTATATACTTGTATACAGCATTTATAATAGATCTGTTAAACAAAAAAAGAAGCATTGAAATTGGCCATATATTGGGCTTCTTCCAGTAGTAAAGGTGCAAACTGGACACTCTTAGCGGACCAAGTTAACTCATAGTTTGCAAATGACCTGACAGTTAAAGCAGGATCACCTCTAGTACAGCCCAGTAGGTACTGCAGTACGTGACAGCGGCTTCACACCATGACATCACGTGACAGCGACCTCACCTGACACTCATCTGAGACTGCTGCGAGGGCATTGCGATAGGGCTTCCATCTGCTGCCACACACAATCCTGGTGCAACAGCAGTTGATGCCCTCCTACCTCATGCCCAGGTTGCATGACAATGGGATCACCAAAGCTCAAAAATTCCCACCATCCCACCCGCAACAGTACCTCTGTGCACTTTCATACCTGCCTGAGTGTTTCCCCCACCTGAACCCCATATGGGTCAGTCCCGGGATTCACACACACTCAGTCCCCGCTTTTGTATCACATTCACCTAGTAGCTTTGTTATCCGCCACCTATGTATGTACCATAGCGAGCATAGTATACAAGGTATGAATGTGAGCACAGAGTCCATGCATCCRGAGTGACGTACAACCGAGGCGGCGCCGGGATATCCCTACGGGATACTAAACTTCTCGAAAGCAGTTTTCCATTCCTTTGTCATTGGCATTGCTGGATTTCTTATTGATCAACCATGGGTTTGAAACTTACTCCCTAGTGAAGAACATGATCCTGTCGACTCCATTTTCCCCACGACTTATATGTTGATGCGTGCATGCTTCCTCTCTTGCGTTAAATTACCACGTGAAGAGCTTATTTTTCGGTATTAATGTGTGTGAGCTTAAATGATGAAGTTTTTAATTCATTTCCGTGCTAGACTTCTTGATTGTATATGGCCACTGCAATACTTATTGATATGTGAATTGATTTCGTAAAGTTTTTATTGATATTCATAAATGAAATAATAATAGCAGCGAATAATTACTGTATCCATCACGATTCGAGTAATAATGATAATAATAATACGCGTACCCGTATCTTTAAAAAAATGGAATCGAAACAATCCGTGGTAAGTGCAACATGGACGGGAGGAATTGGCACGATGCGAGTACAAGTACCATATGAACATTGGATTTTTCCTTTTGAAGTCGATGATGATGTAATGCATTGCATTCATGTGCACACCATTGAATCCAAAATAATCATTCATTGCGATTGTTACAAAAACAGCTCATAAACGGATCATCCCGAAAAGAAGAGTACAAAATAGAGGCCTGCTGGTGGGAAGGACAATATTAACTGAACAATAAGTCACAGACAACTAACAATGCGCACCTTTCAATTTCTGATTTTTCTGGTTCTTTCCGGCATCGTCGTTTCTTCAGAACAGAAGATAGCAGCGGAATCGACGAAAGAGAAAGTGAAATATCGCAAGGATGCCAGCGGTGACAATGATAGTAATGATGTTGAACTCGAAGTGAATCCGGAGCGGAAGGGGGGAGGTTTTTATCGTGACGACCTCGAAAAAGGAGTGATGGACGACATCAAGCTCGACAACTCAAAAATTAAGAAGAACCGGGTCAATCAAAGAAACAAGAACCTCAGAAAGGAGACTGAAAAAGTCAACTTTGTCTACGGGCTTGACGGTGAGCTAGAGCCCGTTCTTTCCAAAGATGATTTGGAGCGTCACATAACAGAAAACCTTCTTGAAGAGAAGGAAGCTAACGCGTTGAGAAGGGCGGGACCGTTGCCAAAAGGCATTTTTGACGAGAGGAGATCTGGGACTGATGGCCATGGCGGTGTGGTCCTGACAGAAGAAGAATTGGAGGATATTATCAAGGAGAACAACATCGACGACCAGGAGGCCGAAGTGTTTCGCGCGTTGCGTCCCTACAGCTACTACAACTATCGCGCACCATCTTACTCTTACAGGTCCTCTTCTTACTACCGTGGCTACTACAATTCGAAGGGGGGTAAAGGAAAGGGCTACGGAAAAGGATATGGAAAGGGTTCGAAGAGCTACTACGGAAAAGGATATGGGAAGGGTTCGAAGAGCTACTACGGAAAAGGATATGGAAAGGGTTCGAAGAGCTACTACCAACCTACTAGTAAGTAGTTGTGTCCAACATTGAATATGTTGTCGCCTATTTCCATCACTCTCGTCATCCTCAGTTTTTGTACGGTACAACAATGAATTGTTGTGTGTGTGCAAGTGTCCGCGAAAGTTTCTGTTAGTTGAAGTTGTTCCATGTATATGCCTCTTCTCACGACGTTTACAATCCTAATTGTTTTGTCGCAAACAGCTTATTCTTACACATCCTACAATAACGGGTACTCATATGGCCATCGGAAGAGGTCGTACCAGTACTACTATTTTTATTGAAGTTATTACGCACTCTACGCGTATTCTTTCTACTGTTTTCAACGCACACTTCAATGTTAGTATAGATCAAGCAATGATTTGAGGAATGAGAGGATGGAATGGAGAAGAGTACCCATGGAACAATGGAGTCTTATGTTATTTCTTTTGCTCTGAAGACTCAATGCAAGCCCCACCAAAGCTGGATTTCTTCCTGTTGAAATCAATGATTTATCCGATGCTGAGATTCATTTACCACAAAGTCAAAACTAGTGCTGAAATTGTTTTTTGATTTTATGAGGTATCCATAGATAACTCAACCCAATGTATATATTCTTCATATATGAAAAAGCTAGTCACACAGACCATAGGTTGAAACGCTGATGATGATGTAAACTAGCTTTAAGTACTTTTATTATGAGCAATATTTTCTTCTAGGAATTCAAGACGTACTGTTTGTTCAAAGGGATTTTTGTATGCTCCCTCTGACTCAATATTTTCAACAGTGTTTAATACTAGGAAGTGAATAGCTTCCTCCTCTTTGTATATATGGTCACAATGAACTGTTCAATTATGCCTGGAGTATTTGAATCCAACAGGATACAGCCTTTTGTTTCTTATTTGCTTCTTTCAGTCGCTTCTTGAAACATTTGCATCACTCTCCTTCTTCAGAACTAAAATACTCCTAGGCAATTCAGTTTTCCTTTACCTGTAACAATAGAGCACTGACTTGAGTATTTCATCTTTGCAATAGGATCTTGACAAGCTATTGTATACAGTTCAGTTGATGATTGCAATTCTTCTTTCTAAGTACACACATCTATCAATTTCTCTTCATTAACGCCTCCATGATTGAATACATTAATGGCTGCTCATTTTCCTTTATTGCACATGTTACTTCCATAGGGAAAGTCCCTTCCGTTATCAATGCTGAATGTCTCATTGGAAGCAAACAAAAGAAGGTTTCTGGGAAGATTCACCAAGTCTTGGATTTATGGATTAAGTCAAGAGAGAGAGAGAGAGAGAGAGAGAGAGAGAGAGAGAGAGTTATGTAGCTCCCTTGCCAGTCTGACTTCAGACAAGGGGGAGTGAGCTACATCTAATAACCCTTTTGTAGTACTACAAACAGATGACAGCTCCCATCATAGCATGAAGGCCACCTTTCTTGTCCATCACAACATTGCATACACTTTCTGATTTATTTCCAGTTTTGTTCTTCAAGCTTCTTTTTTGTGCATGTTTTCCCGTATGAGGATAAACTTCAGTGTCTTCCTTATATAGATGGGATATAGTCTATATGCTATTGTTTTGGTCTATCAGGTGACTTATTGTTTTACTGCAACCCTCTGAAATTTTCAAGGGCCCTTTAGTGGCCTGCTCTAATTATGGGATCCAATCCTTTGGGCTATAAGTTATTTGAATTGTATTTGCTATGAGGCTTCTGAGAATGTGTGAGCTTCTGGATTGACTTCTTCGGTTGCACCCAATTCATGCCTACCATTTTATGCCAGATTTAGTATTAACATGACAGAAAGAATCATACTAACAAAATCTGAAGATGAGAAAACGAAATACTATTCTGCCTGCTGAATGGGATGAGAATGCTAGTTGTGTCAATTGATTGGAACTACAACACACGAAAAAAATATTTCTTTATCTGAAACACAATGATCGTTGGCAAATAATAGTTCCTCTACTCAGTTGGTTCACTACAAATCAAACATCGCTGGTTTCTTGCAAGCATATATGCATTCCTTACACAAGAAGAGTAACATAATGTCGATGAAGGCATCCAAAAAGGCTTAGCAGCAGCTTCGATTGTCGTTCTGGGGAGCCGCAAGAGGAAAGGCCTCTCGTTCCGGCTGCGGTGGATTCTTCGGTAGTTTCTTCGCAATTTCTACAAACAGCGCCTTCACGTTGTTAGCATTCTTTGCCGATGTTTCCAAATGCAGGATGCCGTTTTCTTCCGCGTAAGAATTGGCCTCCTCAAACTCGACCTTACGTCGAGATTCGAGGTCCGCCTTGTTTCCAGCCAGGGCAATCACAACATTAGGATCTCCGCGACGTTGAAGCTCTTTTACCCAGGACTTGGCACCAGTGAAGGAGTCCGGATTGGTAATATCGTATACCACAATAGCAGCTGCAGCACCTCTGTAGTACATGGGAGCTAACGAACGGTAGCGCTCCTGCCCAGCAGTATCCCATATTTCAAACTTCACAGTCGAGTCATCCAATGCCACTGTCTGCGTTAAGAAGGCAGCTATTTTCCGCGATAAACATGAATTCCGTTGGATTTAAAATAAAGGAAGAAGACACTCGTGTGAGCAAAACGATAAAATGCTTTATATCTCCATCTCTTGGGATTATTGTATGGGTTGATCGAAAATTTGTCTGTTTTAACATTGCGCAACTCGACCTTGAAACAACGTTTTTATTTCGATGGTACAAAAAGATCGCACGATCTATGGCGTCTCATCTCATGCCAATTTATCCGGCAAAGTATGACCCCGCTGAAACAACCATTGTAGCATTCAAGTATAATATTCGTCACTAACCTCCAATTGTTGGTTCTTGAAATTCGAAAAATTCATCCCGAACAAATCGAACGACAAGACATGACTTTCCAACAGCTGTATCTCCGAGAAGAACAAGTTTGAAGTGGTGTACTCTACTGCTGCTCATGTTTCTTATCTTGAGAGTGAGCTGAATTCACCGTGTAGTGTCTGTTTCAATAATTTCGCCTTTCGTTCGTGAGGAGGTCGATACGTCCTAATGATTAGTTGCAGCTGCGATGATTGAACCGGAGCTTTCGCAGGTGACAACTGTTTGAAGAGTGCAGGCAGCGTGCTCGATGTTCTGAAAAGTTAACACGACTTCTGCTGCATCATAACGTATTTTCTACTGCATGACCACCCCAACGTACTCGTACTCCTACGAGTATTCTACAGATGCGATTTCGAATAGTTCGAATAGGAATTGTACCAAGGGGCAGTACCAAGTACCAAGTACTTTTACTCCTTCGGCACTAATACGGATGGCACCGTATTCTTCATTCCTATTGTAAGTTACGTACTAGCACTGTACTTACAGTACGCTACACGTCGAGTTCAGTCAGTTCTGAATCGTGCAACGAAAAAATCGTTTTTCTTCACGCGAATCTACCGTACCAAACCCTCAACAATCGGAGAGCACGCCGAAGCTGAGAAAAATTCGTTGATCGTAGAATGCCTACTAGATGAAGTAGTAGTAGTAGTACTAGTACTAGTACTACTACTACTAGTACTAGTACTAGTACTACTGCTACTCGGAGGACTACTTGGAGGACTACTCGGAGGACTACTCGGAGGACTACTCAGAGGATTACTCAGAGGACTACTTGGAGGATCCTACTATTGCTCCAGATGCATCAACCACTGCAGCTTGTGCTGCTGGAGGGGATGGTGCAGCAATTAATACAACTGAAGCTTCCTTGGAGGCTGCTAGTACGGAGCAGGCTTCTTTAAGTACAGGTGCTTCTTTCTTGTGTGAGGCAAACACAGCTGCTTCACCAACTTTCCGGGCGCCTCATTTGGAGGCTCAATCCGCACCTTCATGGCATTTACTAGCTTCTTTGCGTGAGGCAAATCATATGCTGGCTTCTGTGGAGGCTGTTTTGTTGATTGCCGAAGATATTGATGCTGTTGCTGCAAATTTTGCAGAGGCCTCTTTGTGTGGGGCAAATAATGCTGCTTCAAAGACTTGCCTGGCCCCTCATTTGGAGGCTTGATCTGCCAAACTGGATCCATGGTATTGCACGTTTCAAGCAGTTAATACCATTGAAGAAGTTTCAACCTCCACCCTTAGTTTTTCCTGATTGGTGGATAATCCTTCACAACTATGTATGGCCAGAACATGTTTCTGGAACAAGGAGCATTATTTTACTCCAAATTATCATGGTCAATGCTGAAAGCATAAGAAAATAACCCCTTGGATGGAACTTACTACTCCCTTATTTGAACTCTGCCTTTTGTCATGCCCCCCTACTACTAGTAAGCTAAAGGTATTCTGTCAAAACTGCCACAGCTCAAGAGGAGATAGGAAAAACCAGTGTCCCATATTTTACAGTGCCAAATGAGACAAAAAGTCAGGCTTCATCACGTTAACAAACTACTCACTCATCTTAGTCTCAGAAAAGATTGCTTCCAGTATTATAACCCACAACTCTAGTTTGTCTTTGTTCAAAACTTTGAGGGATAAGATTGGCGTTAGCCAGTGGTTTGCTTTAACTAATACCCAAGACGGTCCATCTACTAGTGGCATACCGCAGAATCTTGATGACCAAGTTATGTATAACCCTTCACCAGTGAAAGAAGTTGATCATGTGTACTAAGCAAATAGAGTCTGCAATGGAATCTGTCGATTCTGATCTCAACAATGATGTTTTCCAGTATGAACCTGCTCACTGGGAGGAGAGCTCCAACTCTGTTCTCGTCACTTTAATCAAAACACCCTTTTATAATTGATTGTTACCACCCTCAACAAAGGTCAAAATAAAGTTAGTAATGAAGATCATCAAGAGAGGAGACCACAATATACCCTTAGTCACCAAAAGGGAGCTATATCAATGGGCTATCAAATCGGAGAGGTTGTCTGGTTTTACCTGCTGGTGGAGTACTGGAAGCAGTTTGATAGTACTACCCAATGATACTACTACGTCACATAAACCGTTTTCATGGTGTCGCGCTAATCGCGC